CCCTGCTCGGCGGGAAGCCTGCTTCTCCCTCTCCCCCTCCCTCTGCTTGTGTTCCCTCTCTCGCTGTGTCTCTGTGAAATGAATAAAAAAAAAAAAAAAAAAAATCTTCTAAAGTAGACTCACAGGATCCTGGGGATCGGGCTAAGATTGCCTTTTGCCCTGAGCAAAATAGTAACACCAAGGCAGCTGAGTTCCTAGAGGAATGTCACTCTGTCTGTTTCAAGGACTTGTTAATGGACTGTAAGTAGTAAGGAAATTTAATTTTTCTTTTGCCTTTGCTTCCCACATCACCTACCTTATAGACATGCTGTGATGGCTAACAAGATGGTAAGTGTAAAGCTCAAATACTAGCTTAATACATAGTGATTTGTACTTAGTATTATGGGCTAGAATGGTATTGGGTCTAAAATGGTCAGCAAAGAGTCGAAGTTGGGGTTTCAGCGCAGAGGAGAAACAGGGTAGGGCCCCTGTGATACTGTGATTTGTAGGTGTTAAACAACAAAATTCAACCTAGTAAATTTGAAGATCTAGTTGGCTTTATTAAGCAATTCATGAATTGGACAGCATCCAATCCAGCCAGTAGAGAGATGCCCCCAGGGGTTGTACAAAATGAAAGGTGGTTATAGGCAGGAGGATGTGGGAAGATGTTATTAGTAAAAGAAAAGAAAGGATTTTTTCAGGCAAGGACATCTTTTGTGGGAGAAGGGAAAGGCAGGGGTTTGTTTGTTTTGGGGGGGTTTTTTCATCAAGCAGATTATCTTACCACTGCTGAACAGGAAATTTCAGGTTGACTTTTGGAAGGTCATATTCCTAGGATAGGCTGAAACCGTAATTAAGTCTTGTTTGCCATTGGAGAGGGGAGGGACTCAAATGATTCAATTTGGGGCTTTTTTTTCTGTTTTAACATTAGAAATATATATATTTGGGCATTCAGATGACCAAATATATTTCTCATGTAGATTTGGTCTTTATCCATAGTTCCTGGCTCACAGCTCTCAAAACCTTGGAATTTCCTAAACAATAAAATAAGAGCAATGGAGCATCTTTTGTTACAGCATTTGGTCTCTTGTCCTCAGTTCCTGAAAAAAATGCTTCAGAGCATAAACCATGAGGGACTCAAGAACCTCTTTCTTTCAAAACAAGAACAAAAACAAAAAACACAACCCATTTTTGCAATTGAAGCCCTGGCTTGCAAGTGCCTGGTCCCTGCTATGAGTTTCAAAAGCCCATTTCACAACCCCAAATCAAAAATCTGATTCTGTTCTCTGCTGCAGTCTCAGCCCGCCCGTCCTGAGGCAGGACTCCATTGAAAGATGGAGGGTAAAGTGTATCAGGGTGGGGAGCTTCCATTAAGGTCTCAAAATATTGTTCACAGCATCCATTTTTTTAAAAAAGATTTTACTTATTTATTTTAGAGAGCATGCACATGCCGGGGTGGGGGAGGGGTAGAAGGGGAGGGGCAGAGGGGGAGAGAGAGGGACAAGCAGACTCCATGCTGAGCTTGATGCCCCACGTGGGACTCAATCTCACAACCCATGAGATCATGACCTGAGCTGAAACCAAGAGTCAGACGCTTAACTGTGCCACCTGGGTGCCCCTGTTCACTGCGTCCATTTTGCAGTGGGGCACTAGAAAGGCAATACATCATTGTGGTTAGGGGCATGGTTCTATAGCTAGACTATCTGCCCCCAAATGTGGGGCAACAATGGAGTGGAAGCTGGTGGCACAGGGGTTGAAAGGACTCACCCTAAGCAGAACAAAAGAGACCGAAGTTTACTGAATGCACCACAAGGGAGTGGCAGGCAGGACAGCAGCGAAGAGGCTGTCTGCAAGGAGGTGATGGGTGGGGGCTGTTTTAAAAGGGGAACTATGAGGCATGGCGATGTAAGGAATTCCCCCTTGTTTGGTAACGGTGCCTGGTTGTAAGTAGCCCATTGATTAGTTAGGGCCTATGGATATTTTAAGATGGGTCATCTAATGGGCCTGTCTGTATTCAGCCAGGGGGTCACTACGGGCTCTGTCTACACTCTATTGCTCAAGGCTGTTTGCCTAAAAGGGGCCTCAAGGGGCACTGCACCCCAATGTTTATAGCAGCAATGTCCACAATAGCCAAGATATGGAAAGAGCCCAGATGTTCATTGACAGATGAATGGATAAAGAAGATGTGGTATATATATATATAATGGAATATTACTCAGCCACCAAAAAGAATGAAATCTTGCCATTTGCAACAAGGTGGATGGAACTGGAGCGCATTATGCTGAGTGAAATAAGTCAGCCAGAGAAAGACAGATACCATATGATTTCACTCATATGTGGAATTTAAGAAACAAAACAGATGAACATAGGGGAAGGGAAGGAAAAATAAAATAAGATGAAAACAGAGAGGGAGGCAAACCATAGGAGACACTGAACTCTACGAAATAAACTGAGGGTTGCTGGAGAGGAGGTGGGTGGGGGGTAACTGGGTGATGGGCATTAAGGAGGGCACTTGATGGAATGAGCACTGGGTGTTATATGCAAACCGATAAATCACTAAATTCTACCCCTGAAATTAATAATGTGGTATATGTTAACTAAATTGAATTTCAATAAAGAATTTTAAAAATAATAGTAAATAAATAAATATGGCCTTTACACCTACTAGCTGTGTGGCCTTGGGCAAATTACTTAACTTCTCTGTGCCTTACTACACTCATTAAATGAGGATTACAATAGTACTATCCCTACCTCATAGGGTTGTCGTAAGAGATACAACAGTATGGAAAAGCACTAGAACAGTGCCTGGCACATGACAAGCACATTAAGCTATAGGTACTTATAAAATTTAGTGCTAGAATTGGTCACGATTCTCTACATTTTAGGCCAAAAAATTACATTAGATCTATTTTTTAAAAACCTTCAGATAGTTTGACAAACATACTTCCCAGGCAAATATCAAGTATTCATTCATTCATTCACGTATTTATTCACGCCACTTGTTCATTTTCCTACCATAAATGCCAGCAGTCAACGAAGAAGTTGAGATCCTTATAAATTTAATATGAAGGTGTTATCTAGAATATACTGCTATAGGTCTTCTTATTTAAGACACTCATATAGTCTGTGCCACACAGAGAAACAGCTCTGTGCTTGAGGAATACTTGCGAAGATCTGAGGAGGTGAGTCCATGCTCTAAATTGTTAGGGAAGACATAATGAGGGAAAGTCAGAAAGGAAGCTTCTGACCCAGACCATTCTAACAGTTAAAAATTGCAAAATAAATAAATAAATAAATAAATAAATAAAATAAAGGGAAAGAATTAGGAAAGGAAATCATGTCATAGATCTAAAATGTACTTTTATACTTTTATAGGATATATACAGGGTATATTTCATATATATAGAACATATTTCATATTATTAAGAAAATCAGAATGCTGAACAATATGCATTAGCTGACTCCATTTGTGTTTAAAATTGTACATTTAAATGTGCATTTATATAGGAATTTTCAACATGTATAGGAATTCATTCCAAACTGTTAATAGTAGCTTTCTCAAAGGTGGGATTATGAGAGAGATTTTATTTTCTACTTAACATTTTTATTGTACTGTTTGGGATTTTTACAAGTGTGACTTTTTATGTCACTTTTTGTTATGACTTTTAAAAGAAATATTTACAGTTGAGAAAATCTGTTCAAATAGCAAATGGGGTACATTAATGGGAAATGAGATAGTAAGCTTCCCATCATAAAGGGGCATTCAAGTAGGAGCTGCAGGAGCATGAAGCAGAGGCTGTGATAGGGAATTGGACCAGTTATCTCTGAAGCTCAGAGGCTCACCCTAGGACTCTGGAGTGGGACTCATCTCTGCAAAAGTCTCCCTATTGTCTGGGAGAGCCAGTGGGCTCAAGTGGCTGGAGTGCAATTTGGATTCTTGCTGCTCTGATTGGGGCCCTGCTGTTCTGAGCTATTCCTGTGCAATTTACACAGGGGCTGAAGTTAAGCTAACACTTTGCCTCTCTTCCAGTGCCACTGCCAAGCTGTGAGCACCACTAGGGAGGCAGTGGGCCATGCTCAGGCCATGTTCTCCATACATAAACTGGCTGGGCAGGGAGTGATGACGTGGCACTTGCCACCGGCACTGATAAGGGCTCCTGTTCCTCTTTGTGCCCCTGAAGGACAGCCATGAAGCTGCTATGGATGTCCCTGCTGCTAGCGGCCTCTTGCGTCTCCACTGTCCAGGGCTTGCCAGAGGACGTCAAAGAAGACAGCATCAACATATCCCAGCCCTTGCATATCGTGGAGGAAGGCAACCTGCTAGTGCTAACACCTGCTGGCCTGACCCAGATGCTGAACCAGACCCGCTTCCTCATGGTGCTTTTTCGTGAGTGTCCCCTACTCCTGGGTGGTGGGCGATGGGTGGGGTGAGATCTGCCTCCTTGCTCCTGGCAGCCAGGGGAATTTTATATATTGCTAAACACACAAGAACACATATTATTAACATATTTTAAAACAGTATGTATATACTCTCATTCCCAATTTCTAGATGAGAATACTGAGGTCCAGGGAGGTTAAGCAATTTGCAAGATACGATGTTGCCACTTTAGTCTTGATTTATACATTGCTCCTCAGTCCCACTGAAGGTAAAAAGTCAAGCTTTACTCTTAGGTATCTTTATATTCTGAAACTCAACTTTCCCCTCTGTAAAATGGGCATGAGCAGCATGACCATACTGGGCTGTTGTAAAGATGAAATGAGGTAATATGTCAAGTAGCTGGAATGCAACCAGAGAACAATAAATGGTGGCAGTTGTGGGCAAGCTCTTAAGCAAAAATTTGCAGACCATCACCTTTATCTGAACTCTGCCTGTCCACTTTTGTTCTTTGGACTGTTGTTCCTTGCATCAGTAGACATTTCTTCTTTTCCTTAGGCCCTGGGCACAGAGCTGTGCCTTGGGGCAGGGTAGGAGGGATTTTCACGTCAGCTTTCACATAGTCAGCACTTACTGTGTGCTGGGCATTGTCCTGAGTGCCCCACTACATGTTAAGTCAGTTAATTCTCACAACAAGCCAGTGTGGTGGCACCATTTGTCTCCCTATTTTATAGCTGAGGAGACAGAAGCTCAAAGAGGCCAAGCGATTTGCCCAAAGTCACACAGCTCACAAGTGGGGACCGCAGATGCTGTGCTACACCACTTCCCACCTGCAAGGATTGCAAGGGTGCAGAAAGCAGATGTGAACACTGGATTCCAGAATCCTTCAGAGCCTCTCCTGGGGAGTGTCTGGATCCGTGTCAATCCCCAAGGCCTGCTTCCAGGTTGTACCTGGCCTGACTAGCACCCAGGTTCCTGGAGGCCAGGCAGTGCCTGAGGTTCCAGAGCTGGGCAGGGCAGTGCAGGGTGGGTGCTGCCCCTTTCCATGCAGCCTCTCCTCCCCTCTTCTTGGCTGATGCTCTGGTGTAGCCTTTTCTCCCGTCTGTCAGTTTGCCTTCCTCAAACACTGACCCCTCACCGGCTTCCTTTTCTCTCCAGTCTGACCAATGTATGTACTGGGATGAGAGGTTCATGGTCCTAGGCTCAAAAGCTGGGCTCTGCCACTTATTGGCGAGGTGACCTTGAGCAGGTGACCTTGATCGCTCTGAGCCTCTCTTTACTTGGCTGTAAAATGGGGAATTTAATAATATGATATAATTCCTAGGGTGCTTAGCACAGTGCCTGGTGCATAATAAGAGCTTAAGAATATATTGGCTGTCATTCTTTTTATCATCATTTTGAGATTCCTCCTCTGCACAAAAGCGTTAATGATTTTTCCCTTGCTGGTTGTTGTGGTGATGAAAATGGGCTCAAACATGCAGTCATTAGTGCCTAGTGAGCATTCATTGGGCAGAAACTGTTATTGCATTCTAATTCACCCCACTTTTACTCAGCTTACTCAGTGCCAGGCCTTGGGTGGGCTCTTTGGGAGCCCCAGAGAAAAGGGGTCTTGGTTTCTGCTCTCAAAGACTTTGTCAGAAGTCAGGACTGTCACAAAGCAGGAGAAACTCTTTAAAATGATATTCATGCCATTAGAAGAGTCTAAAACGGTATACATTGGGTGCCTCACGGAGAAGTGACAGCTTGGACTTGTCCTCAGAAAGGGTGGTTTTGGCTGCAAACCAGTTGGGCAGCCTCCTTGGTCTTGGCTCCTGCATCCTTGCATCCTGGAATGCACATGGGTCTCCAGGTCAATGCAAATGCATCTTGAAGCTTGAAGTTTGGCTTGAAGTGAGAGAAATCTTTGTTATTTGGCCCCTCAGTGGTGCCCAGTGATGGACAATCTGCAGCCAGAGCAGTGGAGTCAGCACTCTGAAATCTATTGTTGCTGACATCAATAATTATCAAAGACCACATGCCAAGCACTGGTAAATCCTAAAGTGTTTTTTTGTGGGGTTTTTTTGTTTATTTGTTTTTTAACTTGAATCACCCACACACTTTTGTCTGTAAGTAACATCAAGGTTTGGAGTAAAGTATACAAGTTTGGGAGCCAGGCCAGCCTGAGTGTGAAACCCAATACTGCCATGACCTAGATAGGTGGCTTTGGGTACATTTCTTTGTGTCTCACCTTCATCTGTGGAGTGGGAATAACAGAAGTGGTGGAGTCATTGTAGGGATTGACTGAGGGTATCTGTGAAAGATCCGACACAGGGAAGATGTTCAGTAAATGAGTCCTCATCTTCCCGTGGCCCTGGGGCACAAAACAGATCATCAACTTTCTGTCAGTTAGGGCTGGGTTCAGCTTCAAGGAATAAAGAATCTGCTAATGATGACTTAAATGCAGACCAGGGATAGGCAGTCAATGGCTGTCCTAGCAGCTTCATGGTGTTAAGGATGCAGGCTCCATCTATCTTCTTGCATCACCCCTGACACGTTGTAGCTTGTGGTCATAAGATGGCTGAGGTACCTCTTGTGATGTATTGTGCATTTTGCTAGGGGAAAAGAGGGACAGGCAAAGAGCAAAAGGACAAAATACGTATCAGCTAAGTATGTCCCTTGGAAAAAAAAAAAATCAGAACTTTTCCAGAAGCTCCACCAGTGACTTTTGTTATATCTTATTGGCTAGAACTGGGCCGTGGCTGTTCCCAACCTGAGGAGTCTGAAATGGAGAATGTTTTAGGTTCCTATCGCTATGGTCCAAGAATGGTTGATTCACAGTATTTGCCGCAAGATCCAAGGTTGCAGGCTAACTTAAATGGGCCAAATATCTTGTTAGTTCTTTGCATACTGTAGCTCAGTTTTTAATGGTAGATGAATGAAGTCCTTTAATGAAATAAATTCTAAAACTGGTTGCCTACTTTTGTACCCAAACTCTTTTGTTGTTCTGATTTTTTAAAAAATATATATGTAGACAGAATACGTGCAAGCAGGCAGAGGGGCAGAAGGAGACAGAGAGAGAATCTTAAGCAGACTCCATGCACAGCGTGGAGCCCAAGGCAGGGCTCAGTCTCAGGACGCTGAGATCATGACCTGAGCTGAAATCAAGAGTTGGACACTTAACCAACTGAGCCACCTGGGCGCCCCTCATTGTTCTCATTTTGATTAGATATTTTAAAGATCACTGTGTTAGGGAAAGCTAACTGCTATACCAACTCCCAAATCTAGGTTTGTAAAGGTTGACTTCTTAAATCTTAGTCTCAGGCAGGTCTGCAGAGGAGCTTTGCTCCATATAGTCATTCAGTCAGCCAGGCTGCTTCCATCCAGTGCCTCAAGCATCACTTAGGGCCTAGAGTACTCCACTGAGTCCTCTGCCTCCAGCCAGCAAATGGATTGAGAGACAGAGGACATGCTTCTGAGCCAGGCCAGCCCTGGAAATGGTGCACATCAGTGCTCCTTGAAGTGCTGCCTGTGGACCAGCAGTGCCAGCATCACATAGGAGCTCATCAGAATTGCAAAATACCAGGCCCCATTCTAGACCTACTGAGTCGGAGTCCCAGGTGATTCACACGGACATTACAGGGTGAGAAGTATGTGTAACTTCTGCCCATGTTCCATGGGCTGCAGCTCTGCAGGAGAGGCTGGGAAACTCAGTCTGGCAGTGTAAATGAAAAGGAAAAAGAAGCAGGGTTTGGGGAACACATGGCATTTTCTGCCTTAATCACACTGCACCTTAAAGGAACCTTGACACGGCCTTTGATTCAAACACAACCTGAAGCTGGGCTGGCTGAGAGGCGGCTGGGCTGTGTAAGCTCTTCCAGACACTAAACCACCAGGAATAGGCTTCTCTTCTGGGCAGCGATGTCAACAACGATTTCCTGCATGAGGCTGACTTTATGGACTGTTTGCTCAGGTTAACGTTCCAAGGACACCTGGTTCCCAAATCCAATAGGCACTTGTCAGTCCTCACCTTCCTTGACCTCTTTGCAGCCCCAACCTGAGACCCTTTGCCCTTTGGTGCCCATGAGCCCATTCTCTTCTGGTTCCCTTTGATCTCTCTGGCTCACTTCTCAGGTCTTTATGGCTCCTCTTCTTTCCCATAACCCTGAAATCAAGGATGTAACAGGCAGCCCATGGACTGAACACAGCCAGCAGGGGGGTTATGTTTGTGCCGTGCACTGTTTTAAAAATTGAATTTCACGGGTGCCTGGGTGGCTCAGTCGGTTGAGCGACTGCCTTCGGCTCAGGTCATGATCCCAGGGTCCTGGGATCGAGTCCCACGTCGGGCTCCCTGCTCTGCAGGGAGCCTGCTTCTCCCTCTCCCACTCCCCCTGCTTGTGTTCCCTCTCTCGCTGTGTCTCTCTCTGTCAAATAAATAAATAAAATCTTTAAAAAAAAAAAAAAATAAATAAAAATTGAATTTCACAATTAAAATTGAATTTACATCTGCTCTTGAAGAAACAGAAGATCTAGAGGCACAGGCCCACATTCTTGCAATGTGCAAGTAGCTGGAGCTGAGTAATGATTTTTTCTTTTGATCAGAAAACATGCCTGTCAGTTTGCCATATCCCTACCCAGCCAACCCCCACAGTCATACCCTGCCTCGCCCCTGTAGCATTTGAGTCTGTGTCCCCCGTCTGAAATTCAGGTCTCCTAGTCTCTTCTTAGTGTAGTCTCTCTGAGTGGTGTTACTTCAGTGGGGGAGTTTGGGTATGTGACAGCCTCAGCAGCTCGGTTGCCCTGGGTCCCAGAGCCTCCTCAGCTGGCTTGTGCAGCCTCTTCATAGCAACGTGGAACAAAAACATTCTTTTTGTGCCCTTAACCTTGATGGTTCCCAGAAGGGAAAATCTGATTGGGTCATTTTTGCTTCCATCCAACATAGAGCATGCCTGATGCATAAAATTCCATCAAAATAGTTCCAAGCTTCTGACCTCCATCTAGCCCAGGCTGTTAATGGTTTCTTTCACCGTGCCAGG